TGCTCTTCTCTTTTGAAAACCCCCTGATGTTTCTTGTGCATGGAGGGAGGGGGGGATTTCGTTTCACAATGGGATATTTGGGCACTGTGGTAATGGGAACTAGGCAAAACTCAGAAGGACTTCCATGCTTAATCACAGCTTATCTTCTGCAAAGTAGAAAGGAGGATACCAGATCTTCTTTTTAGCTTTCAGAAATTCACAGTAAAAAACTTCTACAATGATCACAGGGAAAGAAAGGTCCATCCCTCCTTATCTTTTCTGCCTTTCTTACAAGAACTGGGAGTGGCCTGTGGTCAGGTTGGCTGTGCTGCCTTCTGGGATGTGTGCATGCTGGAAAGGGGCTGTGGCTGGCGGTGCCAAGTGGATGCTTGGACCCCACTGCAGTGCCACCACGTGCCACCCAGACAGACCTTGTTTGTGCAGAGCAAGGACTAGAAGGTGGAAGATGGGCTTGAAAGGTTCCTCTGGAGAAATGTTGGTAGGAAAGCTTGTCACATCCAGTGCTTATCCATGGGGTGTTTGTCACAATTGGACTGTTCTGATGTGCAAAGTCCCACTCAACCATTCTGGGGAACCTTGGGGTTGAATGGGAAGCAAGGATGAGTGCTGCTCAGGTGAAGTCTTTAGAGTTATGCATAAAAATGACTGATAGATTTAACACGGAACAGATTTTCTTTTCTGCCCCATGCAGTGCGTTGGCCTTGAGAGAGGAGGAAGGACCACGCAGGGCTGAAATCAATAGCACTGGGTCATGCAATCCTGGAGCAATGTTAGACCTTCATCACGTTGACTGGTGACAGTGCCTGTAAGTGTCTGAGAAACAGATGCTGCATAAACCAAAAAGAGCTGATTTCCCACCCTAGCAGAAAAGCCTTTTGGGGATGGAGAGCCAGAGGATAGCAAGAAGCAGGGTGTGCAGAAAAAGAGTACAGAAGGTGCAGAAAAGTCCAAGTGAGATGCTGCGTGTGGGATGTGCCCAGGTGCTGGGCTCAGAGCCGGCCATGGGGAGCACAGGGCTGGGTGTTGGTGGCAGGGATCACACAGAGCTCCACTGCATGCACAGCCTGGGGATGGACAGGGACTAAGCTTTGTGTTAAAGAAATGCACGTTGTGCACTGCAGAGAGAAAGGTGGTGTGAGGAATGTCAGCCTCATGCCTCGTTTCATCAAGGACAGAAACCTTCAGAAAGGGAGCGGACTTCATTAGGACTAGAAAACATTTATTAGGCAGTTCTGGATTCCCAGGGATATTTGCTGGCTTTTCAAACAGATCCAGTACAGACAGAGGAGCATCAAAACACAAAGGAGATGTGAAGGGCTCGAAGCAGACCTCCCAGCACTGTGCCCAGCTGCTGCTGGGTGCCCTCAGACCTGGTGCAGCTCCAGCACCCCAAGCCCTCTCCTTGGCACTAAGCGAGGTCACTTCTGCTGCTGCACCCCTGCCTGTTGTTAATGGCACGCCTGGTGCCAAATAGGATCTTTTCCATTCTTAATCTATGATTAACAAGGTTGTTAAAGTTGTTCTTAGCTCTGCCAAAACCAAACAGAATTTTATATTGGGCTACATATTGGGCAAAGGCTGTGTTTGAAGTAGTCTTTAATCTTAGCATTAGTCTCCAGTATTAACTCATATGTAAACAGTCACATTTTATCAGCTCAGCTACAGGGTAATTTATTTGTTAGTCTAATTTTAGTAACTTGTAGGTAATTCAGTATGATTTGAAATAGGTTATATAGGAGTGAACAGATCTAATTTTCCACTGGCAATGCAGGTGAAGCAGTCCCCTGATGCTGCCAAAGCCCTTGCCTGTTTTCTGAATGGTTTCACTGATTTTAGAAAAGTTATTCCAAATGTGTGAAAAAGCAGAATTCCTATGTGAGGCTTTGCAGGGCTAAGGCCTGCCACTGTGTTTTCTGGTAGTGGTGTTTGACATTGCAGTACATTTTTTTTAAGTGTAGCATCTGTTTTTTACCATGCTGTGCAATTAGATTTAGGACAGATCTGTGACTCCTGAACATTTTGCTGAAAGTTACCATATCACAATGGAAGAGAGAAGCAGTATTTTCCTTTTAACTGCAGGGTAATTATGCTGTCCCCATCTCTGGGGCAGATGTTGGAGTTTCAGTGCCATTGCTGTCTGTTAGCTCTTTCATGCAGTTGAACCACAGTCTTCTACCAGCCTCATTTCATGGGCATTCACAGGTGAGGACAGTCCCTGTGAATACAGATACTGAATTAGATTTGCCTTTGCTGTAGGACTTGATTTTTCCTGTTGGAAAAATTGTTCTACGCTGGAAATTGAAAGAAGTTGCCATGTGAAATCTGAAGAAGTGCAGAATATGAAACTGTTTCCCTTTGCACAAAGACATTTCAAGATGATTTCTGAATGGACATGAATGTAGTTTTATTGCTGCTTGGCACTAACAGCTAAAGTAGGTTACAAGAGAAAAGGAGCTGAAAGGCAGTGATCTTTTGTAAAGTTGAACTCCGTACAGGAGGAATATTTTACAAATCAGGTCTTTCCTCTCCTTACACACCTGGGATTTCCAGGTGATTTTGGTGGGAGCAGTGGATTCTTGACAGCCTGCTGTGAAGGAGTGCAGCTCTGGTTCCCATTCCTGCTGCTGGTGTGACTTTTTAGAGTTTATTTCCAAGCGGCCTGACTCTGCGTGCCTTAACTCCCATTTAAGAGGCAGCCTTATTGTGCTGTGGGGGAGCTGCACCCAAAAGTGCCGATCTTTTGTTTTTCTATTGGGAAATTCAGCCTGAATTAATGCCAAAGCAAGCTTAAAAATTTCCCGTTTTTTTGCCCAGCATCTTGCATGCTCGAGTACTGGTCATACCCAGACCAGCATTAACCAGTGCTGGTAACTGCAATTTCCCCTCAGGGGATCAGAGTTGTCTGATCTGAAGCAGGAATGCCTCAATTTGTGTAGAATTGATCTCACTTGGAACTCTGCAGTATTTATAGCAGCTGGCCTGGCTACTTGGTCATGCACATCCCAGTCCTTTACAGAAGCAATCTTTATAGAAAACATTCCCCTCTGCCTTTTTTTTTTTTTTTTTTCCCCAGCTAAAGGTATTTCATTACCTGCCAGACTTTCACGTCTGTATTTGGGCAGGATTTGTGTTAAAAATGCTCTGAAATCATAACCAAACGGCTCTCAGCTTGGATTGTGTGTTTGGGAAATCTGGATACCAGGGCGGGAAAGACCAATATGAAAAGAATAATGAGACTCAATCGACTGTGAAATCCTTCTAGAACAGGTGTAATTGTGATCGTAAACATTCACGGGATATTTTACCACCAGCTTTAATCCCTGCAGAGAGGAATATTGAGGGGTAGGAGAACAAATGTGAAAGTAACTTCGAAGACTGAGTTAAAAGGGGAGGAACACAAACCTCAGGTCCCACCATGAAGCAGTGAGGGCAGCTGAGCAGAGAGGGCTCTGTGGTTCCTTTGGTCCATCACGGTGCCCCAGGTCAGTCTGTGTCCCCATGAGAGGTCCTTAGGGTGCTGATGACCACAGGCAGCCCACTGATCACAAACCGAAGGACAGGAAGAAAATGAAGACCAGGACATTTGGCTGTGGGAAGGGCTGCTGCAGGAGTTGGCAGAGAGTTGGAGCAGCTCTCTGCAGAGAGAGGCACTAAGAAAATAGGTGAACAAGGTCGTGTTTCCTCGTGCCTTGTGAAGGGCACAGAGTTTTCCTTTAATGAATGCACAGGAAATGTAAAGCAGGGAAGGGTCTGAGAACTGCACGAGGAAGTTTGATATGGCTTGAAAGTTCTTCCTGTGCTGAGAGACCGCCTCAGAAGCAAAATGCCATTTATGTTCCACTGGAGCCTGGACTTGCACAGTTCCCTGTAAAGACCTCTTTGCTGGGTGAATTTTTCCCACTGCAATTAAGGAAACAAAACTCATTGGTGACTCCAAAGAGGGAAAACGAGGAGCGATAAAGACAAACATGTAGGAAGTGCTATAGAGCGATAAGGAAGCTGGAATGGTAAATCAAAGCCTAAAGAGGAAGGATACGAGGGGGCACAGAAGTATAAATCTTTCTGAGCTGAGCAGGGAGCTGCTGGAGCCCTTAGAGGGATGCAAGTGGAAGGTGGTGAGTGAGTGGGGCTGCAGAACGAATTCCTTGCGTTGGGAAGCAGGGGAGAGCAGCTAAAGGTCACATACTGCAAGGAGGACAGGGAATCTGTTTTTCCGTGTGCAGAGAGAGAGAAGGCATTTTGTTTAGAAGTTTTATGTGTGTAACCCAAGCAGACAGCTGGGAAATTAAAACTACTAAAATTGACAAGTCACCAATTTTAGATTAATTGCAACCTGCAATTCCTGGAGTTGGTTTCTGGCCTCAGTGTTTGAGAGTTCCCTGGGAGAGTGCTAGTATCTGAGGAGGGAGACACAGAAAGCGTCGTCTCCTTATTTAAAAAACGGAGTAAAAGCAACAGGAGACAAAAAATGTACATTTGGCAAGTTGTAGAGAAGATAGAGTAAATATTACTAAAAGCAAGCACTGGGCAACGTTTCAGAGCCATCTGATAGGCAGTGAAGTGGCCTTTGATACCCTGTGGTCTTACTTCTGAAATGTGTGCATTGGACAGGCTGAAGGACCGCTGGTGGAGCTCGGTGCTCACACAGCCCCAACCACCACAGAGCTGCAGCTCTGCAGAGCTGTGCAGACTTCCTGCAGATCAGAGCTGGCTGCGGCACTGCCTGGGGCTGCGCAGCTCCCTTGGAGCGACTTGCACACCGGCTTCCAGTGAATACAGCAGTGGTACTGTGATTTTTTAAATGCCCTCGGAACTCAAAGGGAAACAACCTGCAGTGTTTGACGTCCACTCCATGCTGCTTGTCGCCAGCAGTAGCTGAGGTAGATGTCAGTTGCCAGCTTTGCCATGCTGATGCTTCCAGTTGCCCTGACCTGCCGTGCTGACAGTTGGGATTTAATCAGGAGTCAGCTCTGTACTCAAGTCCTTTGGTAAGGTCTTGTCTCATGAACAGCAGGTTTGAGCCTTCAGACACGCTTTCTCCCACAGCCAGCATACGTGGTGAGATCTCATCCTGTAGAGGCTGTGCTGGTGGCAGAAGTGAAGGCAGGCCTTTCTCAGATTATTTTAGCTAAACCAGTGATTTCCAGACTTTTTTTTCCTACTTACGGAAGTCTGAATGTTTCGCATTGGGGGCCTGAACTCTTTTTACAAGAAGCTATGCTTATTTACTATCTTGCTGCTCATGTAAATTCTTTGGTGCATTTTGCAGACCTTTAGAAAGAGGCTGTATGCCTAAAGGGACCCCATAGAACCCCCCCCTGTTTAATGAAGCTATTGATGCTCGTGGCCTTTTATTTTCATAAGCTGTGTGACAGTGAAGACAAGGATGCAGAGCTGCAAGCTCTTCTCACCTTCAAGAAATTAGGAATACTTTTTATTTGGACGAGAATTTCAATAGAATTCCCAGCACTGATGTCCCACAAGGCTCCTCTTGTGAGGTGTCACGTTGCCCAGGAGACAGACTGAGCAACTGAGAAATTCTGCAAGTTTTTGAAAAAGAGATTTATATATAAATGTGTTATGGGAAAAAAAATACCTCTGCTCATACACATGGTAATTCTTCTGTCTTACTTTGTTTACTATCTTTCTTTCTTTCTTGTTTTCAGAGATTTAAAGGAATTTAATTAAAAAGGCCGTTTAACTACCCTCTTTTTTCCAGATAACAAACACTAACATAAAATGAAGTGAAATATTGGAGAGCCTGCTTTTATACCCCTTTTAAAACTGAACACAAAAGCCAAGTGAGATCATCGGGTTTATTAGGCAAGATATTTCCAGTAAAGATGGGGAAGCACTCCTGCCACCATACAAGGAACTGCTCAGCCTCCGTCTGGAAAGTCACAGCCAGCTCCCATCATCTGTCTTTGGGAAGGAGAAATCCGAAGCAGGACTCAGAAGACGGCTGGACTGTGAGGGACACAGAAGTGGCCGTGTGGGATGTTCAGTGTGGCAGAGCTGAAGAGAGGGCGCTGGCTTCTGTAGACACAGCAGAAAGAAGAAGGTTACATAAATGACAGTAAATCTTTGGACGACAGAGTGACTATAAACTGGCATGGAAAACACTGACACTGGAAATGAGGGTTCTGGGCCTTGGAGCAACCAGGTTCTGCAAGACCTCGCATCAGGAGAGCAGAGCCAGGTCCTGTTGCATAACCCACACACGAACAGGTTGGCATGTGATGCTGTGAAAGCGGAGTCTGGCTACAGTGATCATCTCCAGTCCCATGTGCTCCTAGAATACCAATAATTTCTTCCACTGGCCTTGCAATTCCACAAGCAGCTGTCTAGCTGTGATCTTCCAGAGAGCCAAAGTAAGGTTTATTATTTAGGTTTTAGCTCAGCTACAATACATTATTTAGAAAAAGTCCTGCTGTGCTAAGCTGCATGCAGTAGCATGGCAACATCCAGTGTATATATTTGACTGCACTCTGCTTTGTCTTTTGTTAGCTCCGATGTCAGCAGGTAAGTGAGCAGAGTGGCCCTGAGACCTGCCAGTGTGGGGCACAGTGTAGGAAACTGTCTCAGTTTCACATCTTTAGCAAACCTGGTGCTCTGCATTCCTCACCAGTGCCCAGGACGCTGCTGTCAATGCATCACACCCAGAATGCACAGACACTGCTTTGCTCCTGCCTTTTTGCAGTTTCCCTGTGGCAAGCTGCTGGGCTTGAGCTCCTGGGCTTCGTGCCGTGGCTCCTTGCAGCCCCACACCTCCTTCCCTTTCCAAAATGCATTTTGAAACTTCAGCTGTAGTGATCTGGGTGTGTGTAACTGGGAGTGCTAACATTATTGTCACAGGGGGAAAGCTGTGGCCCTATGCCCTACAGTGGAGCTCTCCAAGACATTGCGCCAGAGACTGCAGCTTACTGAGAGTGCTACGGAATGGGATCTAGGAGCTGCAACACCGTTTGCTTAATGGCCAGCAGTGACAGAGTTATAAATCAACAAGGCACCTATTACCTTCAATGGAAAACGGTAATCTGGTTTTTCTCCTAGCGGCTTCTGTTGCAATAATCACGTGCTTGCGGCCTCCTCCAGGGTACAGTGCAATGCATCTCCCTTGCAGCAGTCACATCCCTGCCCCTGGGAGCCCTCCCAGCTCAGCAGGGCACTGAGCATTCCCTCGACCGCTGGGAGCTGCAGGGACTCAGTGCCTGAGCTCAGCCCTCCAGCAGGATGTGTGCAGCTTCGCTCCACTTTTCACCAACAGCTGCAGGGCAGCCTGGAAATGGAGTTGTAGGAAGGGAAGGGATCCGTAGGGCTGCTTTCTTCCTGCTTTTTTCCCCACTCACAGGTATGGAGGGCTGTTGAGCACCGCGGAGCTCCGCGTTCAGAGCACCCTGCACAGGAGGCAGCACGTGGCCGCAATGGTAGCACCCTGGTGTCAGGTGTCTGTCTTAGCCTCTTCCCAGCAAGGTCTCCATCTAAATCAACAGGAGCTCTCTGGACTCCGAACCATGGCATACGTGTATTTTTAGAAGCCAATCAATCAGTGGTGACTGTTCAAGTTCAGACAAGTCAAACACAGCCTGCAAAGTTACACAGAAGCACTGTGTGTTGTAGAAGGGTTGGTGAGCCTGCTTATTATTTGGTGTGCAGTGCCAAATCCATGAGCTACCAAGGCTGGGTTCTTTTCAGAGAGATATCCATAAGAAGTGTAAGTATAAACAGACTGTGGATTGTGGCACACGCTTTTTAATTGAAGCAATAAATGACTGTTTGTGCTTCCACAGAAGCCCTCTTTCAAGGTGCTGTGTGTTTTCCAAACTTTAACACAGCCCTTGGTTCAGGGTTTGTCATCTGGGCCTTTCTGTAGGTGAGGAAACTGAGGCACAGGAGAATGTAGATGCTGCCAAGGAGCTACAGAGACTGTGAAGTCCCAGCTTGTCTCCAGAAAAGTGCTGCACTGGGCGAAGAAAACAAACACCTGTGCCCTGGCTTCCCTTCACAGTCTGATCAGCGGAACCAGCAGCAGAGGGGTTAGTTAGGTCAGCACCTCTGGGCAGCAGCAGCAGGTTGACTTTTCAGTGGCTTTGGCTACAAGGCAGGAACGTCCCGAAGCCTTTCTGCGTGTTTCTTCCAAGTGCATGAGCTGGGGTTTGGAAACGGTGAGCACAGAGCAGGTATACAAATATAAAAAATGATCATAATGAATCGTATCCCTTCATGAACAGTGCAGAGGCTCAGTAGTTGTGAGGAAGCAGGCACAGCCTGGAGTCAAGCTGGACCTCGAAGATCAGACACCAACCAGTCAGTGAGCAGATTAGAAAATGCCAGTGTTCTGATTTCCAGAGCCTCAGTTTATCCAGCTTGAAAGTGGAACTGATACTTTCCTATGTCGCTGACCACTCAATCAAGAAACGTGGCCTTGGCCTCTTCTGTTTCTCTTCTTCTTCATGTCCTTCCCTCCTTTACAAGACATCTGCTCCAGAACTTCTGGTTGGAGTCTTTGCACAGCTGCACAAAATGTAGTGCATGATCTGATTCTCAAATTGGGTTTAACTCATATGTACAGTGCCAGCTGGAGGGGCCTGCTGAGCTTTTGCTGATGCATCAGATATATATTTTTAGGAAGGTTTCTCTATAATTATCACATTATAGCTCCTTCTGGATCACTCAGAGTATAGTAAACAATTGCTATACTTGTTAGAGGTCATGAATACAGAAAAACATTCCTCTGTGTGAGGTCTGCTGTTAAATAATAACTTGTCTTTTCATGGCGTGGGGGGAGTGAATGCCCTCGAAGGGACGTGCTGACATTGTTCAAGCCAGTGATCCAGTTCCTGTAATTTACACCACTTTCTTAAAGCTGCTTCTCTGCACAAGAACAATGGATGTGCTGAGGGACAGCTGTTGCCCTGCTGCAGCTCCTGTTGCCTTGTGTGTTGATCCTCTCTCCGGTTTCTCTGCTGTGCTGCTGCAGCAACACACGGATGGATCCCTGCTGGAGGCCTTGGAGGTGATGGGCAGCTGGGTGAGGAAGGTGGTTACCGGACAGCTGTGCAGGGTGCAGCCCTAGGCAGATGGGGCAGGTGAGTGGCATTAGAAGGTGATCACACAAAGAGATGATTAATGAGTAATTTCGTGATCAGTGAGTTGAATGAACAGCACTCACCTTTGTGGCATCTCTGCTATCTGGTATAGAGGGAGCATTCACTGCTGTCTTTTCCTCAGGGGATGCTAATGGTGTCCGTGTCCTCCGTCTGTCATCTGCCTGTCTGGGACCTTCGGGGCTCTGAGAAATCCTCCTCTCTGTCTCCTTGAAATAGTCTGACACGATCAAGAACTACTTGCACACATTGGGCTCACACAGCGCTCCATGTAAAGCTTTATTCCCTTGGGAAATCCAGGCTTTACAGTAATCACCTTGCTGTTCAACCAGGCGTAACATGCAGTTGTGATTTTCATAGTACAGTAGAAAAGTGAGGATCTGGCTATGGCTGAAATCAGTTAACAGAACAGATAAGTTAGGGATCCCAGAGCCCCTGGAGTCCTATCTCAAGACCAAAGAAGAAACTAAGATGTCTGACGGAGCTGCAGAAGTGGGGTAGAGCAATGAGCTCCAACCAGACAGGTGACAGATGTGTCCATGATGACATCTCACAGTCCCTCCCTGTGGCATGGGAATCTGCCCTTTCATACGTGGTCAAAAGAAAATTAGGTCTTGGCAAAAACGTAGCAAATTTAAGAGCTCAGTCTGGAAGGAGCTCAGCAGGGAGGCGTAGGAGCTGACTGCAGCATTTCAAAGTCTTTCTAGAAGCTGTGGTTTGGAGAGGAAAAGGGGATGAAATCTTCCATGTTGCAGCATGCAAGAACTCACCAGCTCTACCTCTTCAAATGTCGTTGTGACATGGCTCCACCATATTCATACTCATGACTGAAGGAATGGCAGACTCCATACTCAGCCCCTTGCTTCTTGCTTTTCTTGGTTTGTGTTGCATGCTCCATGTTGTTTTAATGTAGTTCCTAGTATTTAATGCATTTTTATTGCTTTCTCTAATAACATTGACTGAGTGCTAGGAGCCAATCTAAACAAGCTGTGCCAATAAGCCAAACATTTCACTTCAACCAGCAAAGCGGATGCCTCTTACCCCTACTCACGCCTGGCTGTGCAAACCAAGGGCCTCGCTGCTCATCAGGGAGAGCAAAGCAAAAGCCTGGCATGGGGTGGGCAGAGCTGGGCTGTGTCCCTGTCCCTGCCACATGTGTGCCATCGAGGTGTGTCGGCATCGAGGTGCGGGTCAGGCAGTGTGCAAAGCTGGCTCTTCTCGAGGGATTAATGCAGCATCTTGTCTCGTGTACTTTGACAACTTGGGTCTTGGTTTTGAGAGACTGTGAGCACTTTTAAATCCCTTTGACATCAGTGGAAGCTGGAGTTCATGTTCTGCATCGCTGAAAGCCTTTCCAAGCAATTAAAAAACAACCCCAGACCTCCTCCCCTGGTGCTGATCTGTGGTGTGGTGTTGACGTAAGTGTACTGGAGTTTCACTTACTGCAGCTGGGTAGTTGGCACTTTTATAGGACTTTAAAAAAAATTTTTCTGTCTTTTGCACACTAATCCTGATTTTTTTTTTACTCTCTGTTTGCTTTTCTCCTACAAGCCCAGCCTTCATGTCTGACATCTCAGCACTGCTTCCTGTTGTTCTCTGTGATCTCCCTTGTTCCATCTTCTCTTCTCTGGTTTCCTCCCTTTCATTTTAGCCTTATTTTCCTCAGGCTGCCTGAGCCCATCCTCCCAGAGGGGAAGTGTATCTGTCTCATTCCCATCTCTGTTTCCCTCCCAGCCCCACAGCTGTTCCCACTCCGGCAGACCCGACTCCTGCTCAGAGCACCATCTATGTCCAACCCCTTTGCTCCATCACTGCAGGTCAACAACAGAGAAAACTGGAAATGCCCCAGGAGGGGGAGATTACAGCCAAGAAAGATCGTTCCTGCAAGGTGCCAAGTGTTGTCTCACCAGCGTTCGCCTGGACTGCTTTCATCTGGCTGGATGGTGGAACCCCCATCCCCAGCACTGACACCATTTGCAGTGTTTCATGCCACGCAATCCATCATTGCTCCTGAGAAATTTTCGCCTTTCATGCTACCCAAGCCTGAAAGCCAGAAACTCTGCTGTGAGGATGTGGTGAGGTGTGAATGTACACTTCATTTCCAAGTGGTTCTTTTCCCCTCATGTGCTGCACTTTACCAGCAAAGCAGTGGGCACCATTCTCTGTGCTTTGGCCCATGTAATTATGTGTTTTCTAGCTGTGCTCGGTCAAAAGTAATCATGGAGTTACAACCTCAGTTGGGACAGAAATCAATCAGTTTAACAAGTTGACTTGTGTGTGATTACAGATGATACATTCTGCCACTGATTTGTTCTGCCATCCTTTTGCCCTCCTAAGTGGAACACACTGCGGGGACGGATGAAGCCAGTGAGCTGTTGGTGGTGGCACAGCCTGCCCGTCCTGCTGAGGTGAGATACATGTACAGCTGATGGATTTGAAGGGACTTCTCCCTCCAGGGAACTGGGATGCATTTAGCTGCAGACTGCGTATCTACCTTAGGCACCTTGTGACCCCTGCCTTGGGTGTGTTTTTATAGAAGTAGGGAATTATCAGATCTGGAAGGAGAATGTGTGTAGGCTGATCTGCCAGCACTGCTGTGCACTTGTACCCAGCTGCAGACACATCCCTCGCTCTGTCCCTTCGCCTCTCCTGTATTCCCCAACTCAGACTTTGCCTTGTTCAGCAACAAAGAAAATGCCTTCAGAAATATCATTGCCCTGATACAGCAGGAGGCTGTGACAGATACAGTCACTGCTGGGGAACGAGCGCACAGCAATGCTGCGCTGTCTGTGCCATTATTGTTCTCTGCTGCAAACTGGAAGCGACCGAGAGCAGGGCAAGGCAGCAGCCCTTCTGTAACAGCCCTCCCGGGATGCACACACGGCTCCAGTGGTGCAGGATGTGCACAATGGGCATGGCTGGCAGCTTCTGCCATGAGGACGATGACAAAATCCCTCATCTGGATTTCGCCTCATACCCTCTCAGTGATTGACATTCAAACTGTTGGCTTTTAAAAAATCAAGAAAAGAAGAAGGGAATATGTAAACTTCCAGGGCAAATTGTGTTGAAAAATTAAAGAGTGATACAGTGATTGGCTCCAGGCTGGTCCTGCAAGGGTTGACTCTCATGGGAATAGTTATGACTTCTCTGAGGATTCTTCTCATTAGGGTTTGTTATGGAGAAGTCAGTGCGCATTCCCTCTGTGAGCAGTGAGGGCTGTGGCACTGCCTGCTCAGTGCTGCACTCAGCTCTGAAACTGCTGGCAGCATTTCCAGGCACAGGTACGTATGGGGAAAACATCCAAAGCACAGAACGAGTTTGCATTAGCTCTTGGTTATGTGGATTACTGGATTCAAGAGAAAGTTTTAGTTACACAACACAAACAGCCCACTTGTGGATGTGTCACAATGATACTCTGGCACGCTCAGCAGCCCATAAAAATGCCCGCTCTGCTTATACTGTTGAATTGTTTCAGCCTTTGATAAACCATCTGTTGCAGCCTGTTGTACATTTTAAAGCATTTCTTGCTAATGGATTTTCACAATGTGGTTTAAGGGATGTTGTTATTAATAAATGTAACTGTACTGAATAGTAATTTGATAAAGATGAAAGAGGAATTTATGAATTTCACTTTCCTTTCAGCAGCTGCTAGGAATTTTTCCCTCCTTCAGAATATATTGCATTTAATGTTGATTTCCTTTTCGTTAAAACTGTTATATTCTCACTTTATAGAGAGGATATCAGAGGAGTTGGACCAGTTGTGCTATCTTCTGTGCAGTAAAAATCCAGTTCTGCTCAGAACATGGCAGAGATTTCCTTGCTGAAAGGCAGGGCTGCCAGGCATCCTATCAGAAATGCCTACAAATAGTGTGTATGTTTAAAGTTGGTTTTTTAAAATATGATTAATGGGTCTTAATATTGATGGAAGCATTAAAAGAAAATAATTTATCCACACTTTTTGCTAATGGGCCGATCTCCATTACGTTATCGTTACAATGGCCTTGTTGTGTGTAAATTAATTAGGGACTTTCAGTACCAAATAATGTGTGATTGGCTCCAGTTGAACAGGAAACACGGGGTGTCTGAAGGCTGCTATCTACCACAAAAAGGGCTCTGCTAACACTGGTGGCATACAGTAATGGGAAGTACTGTGAGTTATGTTGGGCTGCATCATAAAATGATTGCAGGGCCAAGCAGGGACAGTGGTGAGGAGGAATGTTAGCAGAAACAGAATGGAAAGCTCTCTTTCCTAAGAGGTGAGCTTTGCTTTACTAGAACCTGATCCACGCAGAGATGGATGTCTTCAGCAGAGGAGGCAGGTATTAATCACAGGAAATAACTTGCAGAGCAGGAGTTCCCTTGACAAAAAAAAGATTTTCTATTTTTGGATTGTGCTTTTAATTAAAGATGCATGAGGTCCACATGCAGAAAGGACCAAAAGGCAGTGTGAAGCTGGAGGGTGCTGAGAGACAGGGCCCTGCTCCTGCCCCTCTGGGTTCCCTGCTGTGTGTTGCTGCACAGCCGCTTCTCTTCTCCGTGCCTCTTTGCTACCTCCCACTTTCTGTGCTTTGTCTTTGTTAGCTCTTTTCAAGGGCTGAAGCTTTCTTGTACCTTGAGTTAGCACTGCATTTAGCTTCTCCAGATGCTATGGTAATGCCATCAGATCTAATAGTTAGTCTGCCACCCAGCTCATTCTCTCAACTCATTCTTTTGCGAAGTTGCTCATCCTTGTGAATAGGCAGCTCAGGGATTTATATAGAAAGAAGTAACATGGATCTGCCTCTGATCTTAAGTATAAATCAAGAGTAAATTCAATGAAACTCAGCAGGAATACAACAGGCATTTGTTACAGGGGAACCGAGACATTCTCTGCAAAATACACAAATGCTACTTGCAGTAAAGTTTATAATACTAGACAAGAAAATGGTGTGATGTCTTGCTCCTTGCACACTGCACTGAACTTCTCCCTTGGGGTGACTCTTTATGTTATAAGCAGACAGTTTTCCTGGACTAATTTCCTTGCATAGTAGGCTATAAATAATTATTATTGGTATTGCACGGAGGCTGCGAGTTCCTGGACAACCATGACCGAATTCTTAATTTGCCAGTTACTGATATCATGCATCTGTTTTTGTGATTACTTTAATTATGTTCTATATGTAATTGAAAGAATACAAAATCATCTTCTTTTTTCTTTGTAGATTCACAGACTGATGGAAGGACAGCCCACCTCTGGCCGTCTCTGCGTTTGTAAATCCTGTCTGGACTCAAATGATATTCTGGGGTAAGCACTTGTTTATACAGTTTAGCAGTGTTAGCCCCTATGTAGTCTCTGAAGACAATACCAGTAGGTTGTCAGCATCCCTTGGGCCACATTGTATGTTGTAGGAAGATTCTCAGCAGTGAAAATGCAGTTTTATTCTTCTCAAAGTGCCCCTTACCAAAGTCAGCCAAGCATCCAGAAGCCATTACTCTGAGTGATGGATACAGCATTAATATTCTACTGACTTGATAAGCATACAAGATAGTCCAAGTCTTTCCAGAGGTTTCAATTTCCATCATGTCCCCCATTTCTTTTGACTGAACCATGCCATAGTGTACATCCAGGGCTTGACAGCTCTAATTTCATAGGAGCCAATGGACTTGAAAGATAATCTACTGATGTAGGAGATAGATGAATCAGGCCTGTGGCCAGAGTCCCGCTGACTTCAGTGAAAGCAGACAGCGATGCAGTTGCTGTCACATAGGTCTTGAGAGCAGACTGCTTTAATGACTTTGTCCTCAGGTGCCCAACTCAGTCATTGTGCTAAAGGAATGGAGCACAGCTACATGATCTGGGGTGCTGGATGCTGCTGGGTGGTCCAAGTCATAGATACTGCCAGTGAGCACAATTGCTCTTGCAGAGCCAGTACAAAGAGCTCAAGATGCAGTCCTGCTTTCCTTCTCTCCGTCTTCCAACAGGAACGCAGGTCTTGACCACACACACTGTCAATACAGGACCTTGGACTTGAACTTTGTGCCTCGGACTTCAGCTTTGTGAGCCCTTAGACAGTCCTTCTGCAGCTGCATCAGCCCACACACAGTCACAGCTCTCAGTTGGGAGGTGGCAGGCACAAAGCTGGCACTGGCTCTGTGATTACCTCTCTGCAAAGTCAAACAGGTGAGCATACTCTGCTGGTGGCCTAAGTGCTTTTGTTTGCCGTAACACTGGCCTTGAGCAGCGGTTAAGCACAGCTGGCACCGGCCTCAGGAGGCAACAATCACCTGCTGCTCCTCTTAAGCTTTTCTATACTGCATAAGAAGCCATGTTCTTGCTCTAGTAGCCCAAACAGGTGTGGAATCAGCATAGAAGCAGCATGAAACTGCCTTTCTGATTTTATATCCTTGATAAGCTGTGTTGCAAAGGCTGGGATTGCCCAAGAGTTACACACGCCGCAAACTCAGTATGACATTGTGGGACATTGGCATCTTGCTCTCCTGGGCTCCTTTTATAATACCAACTAGAAAGATTTTCCAGGACAAATGGAAATTTGGCCCTTGAATTTTTGATTGTATATACAAACAAGCCTCAGGCATGCAGGATTTGGCCTATTTGACCAATGTGCTCTGTGGTTCTGAGGATGCTCTGCTGCCTTTTCACTAGAAAGCAAAGGCAGTTTTGTGCCCAACAGGAGACAGTTTTTCTTGAGTTTTTTTGTTGGTCTCCTTTGCTGCCTTCCCCTGCAAAGGGGTGTGAAGGGGTGGTGCAGCATGTGGGTTTTAACTGGACGCCATCCCTTTAATGTGGAGTTGTGTGGTTGTTTTTTTTGAGGGCCAAAAATAAATGCTAGTGAAGGAATAAACAGACGTGAAAAGAAGGCTTGGACACTTGGAGGACAAGACTGCTTTGTGTTTCCCAAAGCAATAAGCCTCTTGACAAGGAGGTTACTCTTTCAGAAAAACACGAGTCCTGTGACAGTGCCAAGGTCAGTAGGTGCCCAGCAGAGCAGGGAGCATTCAAGGCAGACGTGTTTTGGGAAAGGGGCGTATTTGCTCCCCTTGAAAGAGAGGGGAGAGGAGGAGAGAAATTTACTTTGCTCTGCCATTTCAGCTCTTTCTACAGAGTTTGAACGTGCACCAGTTTGGCAGCAGAAGACAGCTTCCATCTATCTCAGATAGCAACGTGGCCCCAGCACTATGGCTGTATCACCTGCATGCTGGCTTGGGAAGAGGGCCGTGCTGCTGCCGCTCTGGAGGAAGCAGGTAAAGAGAGGACATGTGTCACATGCGGAGTCCTGGCAATAAGGCCTGGATTTTTAAAGGTGCTTTGCGTTTTTCAGAAGTCCCTTGTGGACATGGCTCTCTCTTCTTGTGCTGGTCTAAGCACAGTCTAAGCTAGGCCTCTGCTACCTGTCTGCACGTCACAGACTGGTCAGCTGCAGTCTGGATGGGCTTTGCTTTCTGCAGGAAATTAGCAGAATTCAAAGCAAATAGGCAGGTACGGGCATCCTGCGTTCTGGTAATTAGAGCTGGTTAGCAGAGTGCTGCAGTGATCATGGTGGGGGTAGGAAGCGTTGGACTTCACTTTAGGGACTTAACTGGACTCTCCATCCAGTGCAGTATGTTTTGAAATGTGGCCTTTTAGGCTCTTTATTGTCTCAGTTGGATACAGAATGAAAATGCTGAATAATACTGAGCAATGATAAGATTGTACCTCATGCACAAAGGAGAGTGCAGTTCTTTCACAGCCTCTAAAGCACCAAGTTGTGAGTCAGCCAAAGCCTCTGAGGACTCTGGGTAAGAAACACAGCTTTTAAAGGCACCTTGTTAGGACTGAATCTTCAGCACCGTCTGTAGTGACACACAAACTCATCTCAAAGAGGGCAAATGTTGAGAAATTAAGGGAGCTAATTAGTGGAATCAGCTGCACTGCAGAGCTGAGGAATTGAATGTGATGGAACTTGGATTCCAAAAGTAGCTGAAACATGCAGGAAGTTTAACCCTGACAGGAAATGCTCCAACCCCAGTGGGATAAATAACCAGCCCCAAACACATGGGGAGCATTAACTGACATGCAGAAGTTCTGACTGGCATGAGGGTATTCTGCTGGCATGCAGCTAGGGATTGAAATCAGATGTCTGGAGAGGAACTGCTACAGAGTACGATGCTCTGCTCTGCTCTTTGATGGAGTCCATCACTCTTATCACAGGGCTGACAAAGCAGCTTACCCTGCAGTTCCTGAACAGCCACTACTCCAGTGATGTGTTCAGGGCAGCAGTTCTGGACCTGCCTTATGAGTTACTGCCACAAAGGTGGCATTGGAGAGAAGTGGTGGAGCAGAAGACTGGAGGCAGGATTTGCCTCAGTCGTCCAATTTGAAGTTGCTGGGATGGGGAAGGTAGAGACAGAATGAAACGTCAAAGGTGAGCTCGCGAATTGGACTTGAAATTAGAACAGATGGCAGAGGGTTTCAACTGGTGAAATAAAAAGAGGAGAAACGTGGTCGTTACGGAGTGAGAATGGGGTTGAGATTAGACCCAACTACATATAGTCTAAAAATGAATTAAAAACACCTTGTCCACATATTCAGTAGAGATGATCATATTGAGCAGTGGGACAAAGACAGGATTTCTAGTGGGAATATACGTAAGGGAATGAAAATCACTGCATGTAAGGTGGAAAGAAAGGCATGAAGAATTCAGTGTGCTCAGGTGAAGGTGCACTGGCAGATTTCCATCCCAGGATTTGGCACATGAAATGAGTTCAGCTTACCCTGATATTTCTCTTTGATGACTGATTTTTTTTTAGGTAAATGAAATACAGGTGATTTACTCTATCCAGACTTGAGTGAAGAATCTGATATTATACCACAGGGGAAATTACTAGTTGAAGTTGAGACGATGGGGATTAGTGTGGATGGTGAATGCAAAACTGTTAAAAGTGCAGAGGAAAGGGGAGCTGTGAGAAGAGAAGAAATGCCAGACAGAGGCAGTCAGTAAGTGGAACTCCTCAGGAGTCAGTGTTGAGTTCAGTCTTGCTTGTTTCATTAATGAGTCTGGCACAGCAGCAGGAATGTAGTAAAGAAATCTGCTGAGGACACGGGCTTTCTTAATACAGAGGATGATCGGAACATCAGTCAGCAATGAGTGAATGACAGAATTCATCTGAAATAGAATGGACAAAGTAGTAAGACGTGCAGATAGAAATTAATAACTAGAATATCATATTACTCACTTAAAGATGACAAAGGCAGGGGGGTGGAAAAAAAACCGCAGAGCTTACTTGCTCCCAGGGATAACTGTGAGCCACCAATCTGATATGGAGAGGCAAACACAATCCTTGAAGGTACAGGTTCACTCATGTTTGAGGAAGATTAGCAGGTACAGAGAAGGGCACTGAGGATGATCAGAGGGTTTAGAACAAGAGGAGACTAGAAGACTTTCATTTGTTTAGTTTTTCAAAACAAAGGCTAGAGGAGATAGGATTGTTTTCAGTAAATATATCTGATAGGTAAAGATCAGAGGAAAAAGAGAATTGTTTAAACTAAATTATGATGCTGGCACAAGAACAAATGATATTAAAGCTGAAAATTTTAAATGAAGTGCGGGGACAGCCTGCCAAAAAGCACAATATGATGTAATTGAATGTAACAGTAGGAGGCTGGATCAGTAATCCAGAGCCCTGCATTCCTAGATAACTTCTTTTTTGGGAAGGGAATTAGCCACAGCAGCTAAATGCAGGGAGTGGAAAGAACTGCCCAACCAACACCACAAAGGTGTTCCCAGTGATGGAGCAGTGCGGTGTGCGGTGCGTACCATGGAGTGGTTTCTTTCTCGGTAAGAAAACAAGGCTGCAGTTTGTGTTGCTAAGTGCTGGCTGTATCAGAAAAAGTGTCACTAAAACATTTTGCTGTGGGCTTGAGCTCTTGCTTTTTACCCCAAATGTGACCATCTTTCACCTCCCAAACCTAAATATACATTGCTGAAAGCACACCTTCAGGAATTGCTGTCTCGACACTGTCAGTGCCTTGCAGGCTGTGCAGAGGCTGGAGGCAGGCAGTGTGCTCAGCTCCCCGCTCTGTCCCTTGGAGCTCTCCTTTTCTGATGGCCTGTTAGGCAAAACGCCCGCACGGGGAATAATGTTGTGCCTCTTTGAAGAGAAGCAGTAAACAGGCTTTTGGCAAAGTGAGTGCTGGCACCTAACTGGCACCTCTTAAATGAAGCTGGCTGACATACACACTTGCTGCAGTGATGCTCCTGCAGTGGGAAGAGTCCCCTGAGCTCAGGACATGGGACCTCCCCGTCCTGCAGCCCCTCTGGAGCAGGGGCTGAGTAGCAACTGGTGCCAGGGGCCGGGGCTGCTCTGCTCTCCAACAGGTCTGCACCAGGTGCCCCGTGCTGCTCATCCAAGGGCAGGAAAATGCAGCTGGCCAGAGTCCTTGGGTTTGGAAGCTAAAGGTAGGGCCTTCCCTTTTCCTCCCCCCAAGGAGAACTGGCAAATTCAGCTCTTCAATGGCACGAGCTCATCTCAGCCTTGCCTATAAATAGATAAATGAGATTCCTGCTGTCCCTGTGAGTAATTCTGACATCCTCCCTTTGCCTCGCAGAGAGCTGAGTCACAGGCACTCTGCACTCCAGTCCCTGCATTACTTACATGGTCTCAGAGGAAATTTTAACACATCCAGTGAATCATCAGGGATTGGATCATGTTTAAAGTTATTCCAGTGGCATTTCCCTTCTATTGTAGCAAGTCTGCCAACACCTAAAACTTTAGCTAATCTGGACTCAGAATGCATTGAGGAAATAGCATGTTGACATACACAGCTACTAATACAAATAGCCTAAAAAGTTCTCCTAAATCTGCATCAGTAAATAAATGAATCTTAGAGGATTCCTTTAGCACTTTGGGCCTGCTAATTTTGTCAGACTGCTTCATTTTGTTGCTGCTTATTTAAAAGAACTCAAAAGTTTGAAATGTTTTAATATTCAGTCTTTAGGTCCCTAATTTAATCTCCTGCAGGTTTCCTGCCAAAATATTATTTGCACTGAGATGGAGCTTGCAGCCCTGTGCTCGTTTTTTCACAGAAATGCACACATTCCTGTTCTTACCCATGATAAAAATAAAATGCCTGCAAAGCAAGGACAAAACCAGCATGGTGTTAAGTACAAAACACAGAGCATAATATGGTGGCTGCACAAGGATCTGAGCTCCAGCATAAAGCTGTATCTCCTGATGGGACATTTTCACTTGTTACCCTTCCTTCTCCCACATGGGACAGTGTAGTCTGATTGGCTTAGAGGCAACACAGCATCTGCAATCAGAGCAAGTCTCCTCCTGCCTCAGAAACAACTGAAAAGTGAAAAATTCTCCAGCAGAATTTGGGAGCTCTGAAACAAACAGAAGCAGATATCACTCTGTTTGTTTTCTGGCTTGCCTTGCTGTATCTTAGAACTTGTTGGGTCTTTCCACTCATCCAGAATCCAGTTACCAAACTCTCCATTTGAATGAACAAGAAATGCTAATGTTCACTGATTTGCTGCTGTGCTTTAGAGACTCTGAGACCTAAAACCTGGCTGGTTCTTTTGATAACCCTAGGAATGCTGTGTTTTATTCAAATAACATTTTTCTAGCACCTTTTCATAAAGCAACTCTGCCTGTGTGCAGATTGTTAACAAGTATTTGTTCAACACATCCCAGCATGAGCTGCAGTCTCTCCATGAGATGGTTTGTCTCCTACACTGAGGATCATTGGTTTATTTATCAGCCCAGCACAGCTTTGCTTGACAGTGTTCTGCCAGCTGTTGCTATACAACAGCATTGGGAAAAAAGATCAGTTTTGGCTCTCAGTGGAGTTGGACATAATTCAGCTACCTGTTGACAAATTATGATTTGTTTAACAGCATAAACTGTAATATTTTTATAGCTGATAGTTTTCACCCTTCCCTGCAGCTGGGGAAAAAAAAAAAAGAGGAACTCCCAGAAGCTCCTCACTTGAAACCAGAGTTTTCTTGTAGTAATGCCTTGTACTGTTGTTTCTGTACTTTTTTGCTCATGCCTTTTAAATATGCTCCGCCAAACTGTACTTCATGACTGTCTCTCAGGAGGGCCAGATCCTGTAGGACATGTCCTCAGCTTGCAGAAAGAGATCATTAATCATTAGTGTGCCCTGGTCCCTGGCTATTTTAATCACTGGTGAAATACTCATGCAGTTCCCACTCCTAAAAATGGTATTTGACTCCAATGCACATGATTTCCTTTGGCTTCCTTTCCCCATTTAATAGCAAGCCATAACAACTTGGAAGTGCAAGCACTGGAATCCATAGATTTGCTTCTCATCTGTCATGGAGCCAAAGCTTGGTACTGCAGGTAGTATCTGTGCTGAGCAAAAGATCAGAATATATTGTGACTGGCTGTCTGTGACAACCTTTCTGCCTATAGACTGATGGTCAAACCCTGTCCTGTGTACTGGAGCTCTGAAAATGTATTTGGTCCCTTCTGTATCATTAGTCCACTTCTGTCCCACTTTATGATATAATGATTAAAAATGCTTTTTGTGTGTGCTGGCAATAATTAGGGCATGTTAGTCCACTGTGGGAGGAGTGGATGAACTAGCAATATGTTTGAAAACTACAGGCTGTGGCAACCCATAAATCTTTGTTCAATTTTCCCTTTAAAAATGCTGCACTGAAGTCACAGGAAGCTCAAGGGCAAAACAAACTGCTCAGCCTCAGATTCAGGATCACAGTGAAGCTGTGTACTTTGCTTCTCTCACGAGGCAGATGAGCAGCCTCAGGAGTCTGAGTTGTCTGAGAAAACTTCCCTGCCCTCCCTTAATTGCAGACTAATAAATGTATTGTTCCCCTCTCCCTGGGCTTACCTGATTTATAAACTTGATTGCTACAACTCTGAATTCTCTGCTTTTACTCTTCATATGTGAACAGGTTCCTTTTGAGCTTAGAGAAAGCACCAGTTTGGTTTTGCACAGAGGGAAGGAGCAGGTGAAGTTTATAGATGTAAAAGCCTAATAGGTGATGCTCAGCAGGTGCCCTGGTCATGAGGGAGCCGTTCAGGGATAATTACAGCACATCAGCTTGAAGGCACAATGACAAATGGAGGAATATCAAGAATTCAAATGTGGAATTTAACTCATCTCTTCTGACAGTTATTTACATGGAAAACCATGGATCTTTCTCTTGTGTCTTTAATAGACAAGTAAAACTATGTACTTCTTTTTTTTTTTCAAATTGCATATAAGGCAGAATCATCCTCAGCAATGAGGAATTTCTGTCTGCAGGGCTGTCAGGTTCAGAAGTCACATCCTGTTACCAGCTTTAAAACTTGATGCTGCAGAGAAAGGTAGGTAGAGAAGTCCCACTGTCCTACACCAGCTGATGAGTTTGTGTGCTGTGACTCAAGGCGTCTATTCATTTTGTTAAGGCTTTATTTTGTTTTATTTCTCTTTATAGAGAACTAAATCTCAACCAATACCAGCTGGGCCCCAGAACACAGTCCAGCTCTTAAGAAGGCTGTCCTGGCTGTCTCACCAGTTCTCTTAATTAAACTTGATCAACACTGGCCTAATTAAAAAGACAAAGCCCAGCAGTAATCTGCTAAAACTAAAGGTTGCTTGGCAGCTTGGATTTCTTCAGTTTTGCTGAAAGCAATTTAAATCATGAAGAAAGTTTGCCTTAATAACCACATTTCCTCCATGAAACAGCTATTCATCAAAAAGTAGCAAAGGGCTCCAGTGACAGAAGGCACCAAATTCGCCTGCAAAATGTTATTTCCTGCACTGGTCTAATTCAGATCATGTGGCTGACACACAATTTCTATTTGAATGAATGTACCAGATTAAATTATCCAGGCAGATGTTGTGCACTGAAAGCAGTTGATAACATCACAGGGCAGTTCAGAAAGGTCCTGTGCAGCCAGAGGCTCCTTGCAGCTTGGAACACTGGTGCTTGAAAGATTCTGGAGCAGTTGCTTTGATGTGCAGAGAAATATGAATGGTGGCTCAAGCTTAGTACATCTTCTGCTGTCCATGCAGAATTATCTGCATGCGAGTAGGGAATGCTTTATTTTGGCAGGGTCTATTGTAATGTTCATACTACTTAGCATACTCTAGGGATGGCAACTTCAAGAAGTCTAGGGCAGCACCATTGAGACTGACTGAAAAAATCCCGTGTCTACTTTTCAAAACACATTTATTTTAGGAATTTCTGCATTTTCCAAGCCAGGCTGGAGATGCTAAATGACAGAGATGCACAAGCAGGAAATTGTGGCTTACCAGAAGGTGGAAGAAACACGGTTATAAAGCACTGGAAGAGTTTGTCAGACATTTATATAGGCAGAGTTCCCATAGCACATGAGAAGACGATCCGTTCATCCATGCACTAGCTTCAGGAAGAGCTGCAGGATTGTCCTGTGCACATCCCCTGCATTTGGAGGAGCTCTTCTGACCTCCACACCCACCACTGGGTTCTCTCCACGGGGCAGAGCTGTGATAGGAAGAAGCTGGGCAGGCTCAATCCAGTATTACAAAGCAAAAAGGGGGTTATTTTAACATACAAATATTCTTACTTTGAGTAAGATGTGAATACTAAAGATAAAAATTGTAACATAGGAACAAAAACCCCTTCTGGATCTTCCTGTTTCCAGTACTAAGCGTCAGTCATTCTTGTCAGTAGTGGTGGTGCTTCTGTTTATTTGATCGGTAGATACTGGATTAAAAGCAGGTCAGTTCCATCCACACATCTCACCAGGGGAAACGTTCAATTCCTCACATCTTGTTTTGGTATCAGGTGAAGACACTGCATCAGCTACATGAGGAAACAGTCTGTGGCTTCGTATGCTGGACCGGTCTTAGAAATCAAAGGCATCAAAGCAGAAAGTCCTGAAGCAAACAACTCCAAAGGCAGCGACCTGCAAGGCAGCCTTGAGCAGCACAAGTTTCTTTGCTCCCAGCCCATCCTTAGCAGACAGAGTGTGCCTGTCTTGTGCCCATTACCTCCCTTACCTAATCACACAACTGCTGGGACCAGGATTGTCTTTTAGGGCTTGCTTACACAGAGCAGTTGACTATTCTGCAATAGCTGCTGCAGGATGACTTCACGTGAACGCGCTCATTCCACAGCGGCTGTTGGAGCTCCTGATTCATACCATACCTTAACTGGAGTCGTGTCAGCAAGTCAGTGTGCTTTACAGAGTTAAGCAAGACCCAGGACCCAGTTTGGGGTTTCTAGCCACTTCTCCTTTACATAGAGTTGAGCTTTAAGAAAAGCAGTTGAAATGTTCCTGAGAATGACAAATAACAAATGAGTAATGCTTGCTGTGGAGCCACACAGCCCAATTAAAAATAGGTAAGTGATGTGTAAAGGCAAGTCTGTGCAGTCTGTGTAGAGAGAAGGAAAAAAATAAAAATAAGCATGCATTTCTAATCTATTGGCGCAGTCACATGGAGCAGAATTCATTGATAAAAATATCAATTAATTGATAGAGAAAGCCTTTTCAAACAGGTAATGATTAAAACAACCAGACACTGGGAAGGGGACAGTTAGTGTTGTGGAGCCAGATTAATTTGATTATCCATCTCCCTAGGTAAAGTTATTAAAGGAGAAAAGCTTTTTGTTGTAGAGTTCAATGAAAACAAAAACTTAACACATACAAGCTCTCAGAAATGCAAACAAGGTGTTAGAATGCATGATGGAGAATAATTGAATATTACAATTCTGTTTAACAAATTGCTTCTCTTTGTACAATTACTGCATCTCTGCCCTAAGCAGGAATGAAGCTCAGAATAAGATGATGAGAACGAGCAGAGATCTGCCATGGCTGAGAGCAATTCAGCAGACCAAGGAGTAAAGCAGGGAGTTAGCAAGGAGAGGGCAGTTCCCAATGTAATGAAAGGCATTAAGTGTAAAACCACCAACACTTTCCCAAACATGAAAAGAATAAATTGAATACCGAAAGAAAAAAAAAAAAAAGGAAGAAATGCAGATGTAATAATGCAATGAGCTAGCAGACATCACTGCCCTGGAATCTGAAAAAACAGTTTTTTAAAATACTTCTGACTGCAATCATTTATGGCAGCACAGTCCTGTGATATTACAGGAAGGGACATGAGCAGGAACGTTGCAGGACGGAGCCCTTCCATCAGCAAGCAGACAGCTGTGCAGAATAGGGGCACAGTGACACAGGCAGGCACTGCCCAGCACATGGCCATCAGTGGAGCAGTCAGTGGCTCCCTGCTGCCCAGGGACACTGGTGATGCTGCATGGCCACCTTCCCACGTCCTGTGACTGTCCTGCAATCAGTGGAGCAACTTATAATGCTAAATAAAGGACCAGTAAATCTCTGTGGCTCGGGGTGCTCCCCCACTCCCCAGTCCATTGCTATTAACCAGCCACGCTCCTGCTGGAGTGCTGTGGTCAGGGTTGTGTCTCTGGGGTTGGTTTGAGAACATCCCTGGCTGCATTTTGATCTGATAGCCAGAAATGAGAGAGAGATAAAACAGAGAGGGAAAGTGCTTGGTTTCTTTCATTTCTCCCACTGTGTTCCAGTTCTCATGCCCTCAGATTCATACAACAACGCACTCTCCATACCACCATTAACAGTGAAGCTTTTCCAATCCACTTCTGATGGAAACTCAGCCTGTAACACCACTTTCCCCAGCCTGTAACACCACTCCAGCTTGCAAGCAATCCTTCCCAAAGGCAGACCTGCCCTACCATGCTCGCTCTGCACCCAGCACTCGTGCTTACCTTCCAGGCCTCCCCGTGCCGGAGGTCACAGTTGACCATTGCAAGAACAATAAGGATTTTTAGGGGCATTATGACTGGGTTAGTAAAACACAGCTGCCCCTGAAAGTCCCTCATTTTTCTTGCTGCCGCTCAGTCCCCTCCACGTCCCTAGGAGGGCAGAGGTCTGATGGACTCCTTTCGCTCCAGCACGGCTCTGCCATCTCATGCTGGCTTTGCTGATCCGCCAGCAGCAGCCCTGCTGTGACACAGGCAGCGGAGGTGTGGAACTGCTTTGTCATCGCTGCAGGCTCCCTCCTAAGAAAACGCTGCGCTGCACTTCAACGTAACGCCAGATGGCTCGTCTGTCACTCGGCAGAAGTGCCATCAGACAAAGCACACCTCGCTGTAAGCAACCCTCACGTGCCCCCCGAATCACTGGGGCAAAATGAAGCGATGGCCGCTCCTGCAAGCGCTCGAAGCACCGCGCTTTGTCCATGGAACACAGAGGTCCCAGCGCCGGTGGGCACCTGCTGTGTGTGCACTGTGACTGCAGCTCCGCCCAGCTGCACGAGCAGCTCTTCTTCATTGATTAATAAAGCCGAGAGTTCAAGTAAGTAATTGCCACCGATTTCTCAACCGCTTTCAGTTTAGGTGATTTTTAAGAGCTATACTTACTAAAATAATACTCCTACTAAAAAGGTGCCAAGTGGTTGGCTGGGAATTTTCAACCCTCATTTACAAATCCTCTTGGAATTCCCAGCCCAACCCTGCATATTCGTAGGGCGAGGAGTAGCACTTTTCTTTTAACTCACTGCTAATTTGAATCTTGATGGCAGCAGACTCAACAGAATCCATAGGCAGATTCCCATGCATGCTCCCACCCTGCTCTTTCCCTGAGCTCACTGTGGGGTGCTGGATGGGCACACCACCCCCGTGAGTGCTGTGAGAAGTCCTATGGGCTGGGCAAGCACTGCTTGCCCATGAGGACAGAGCTCTGAGAGCTGCTCCGGGACTCCAAGGGCCTTTGGAGCAGAGCAGGGAAGCACTGAGGACTTGCAGTGCTATTTTTTTCTCCCCCTATTGCATTAAAAACGCCCGGCCCCTCAACAAAAGACACTCTTTGCCATTCCCAGCAGTTACGAGTCAGGACAGACATGGCACTATAGCACTGTAGCACAAGGTGTGCTACGAGCAGCAATCTCACACAGCTCGGGTGCCATCCTGGGCAGGCCCAGGCGCTCTGCAGGGCTCACTTGCACACTGCTGTGTCACATCCAGCCTCAGAACAATGGGGCTGAGCTGCAGAGCTGCGCCGTGTTTGGAGTTGCTGCCGTTCAAACATGCCATCTCCAGGGACACGGGCAGGGCTGGCACAGCTGTTCTGCATGCAATGGAAATGCTGAGGTTTAGGCAGCCCAAGGTCCCAGCCACGTGCAGCACAAGATGAATGTCCTCACCTCTCTCACCAGCAAATGATGCTCCATGGCAGCAGCCAGCCAGCCAGGCACCCGGCAAATGCCTCAGCTCCTTGCATTGCTGCACAAAGCCACACCTCATTTTCGTTTAGAATTTCTTCTAACGCTTGAAAGTTAAATGAAAGCAACCATTATGCCTTGATTTGGTAATAAAACATGAGCTGTGATTCTGATCCAAATATTATTTGCATCTTAAAAAAAAAAAAATAAATGTAACAGCAGTATCGTAATAAATTAAAAAAAAGCAGGAGCCTTCTGAATGCTAATGACGTTGGTGTCCTAAATGAAGCATAAAAGCCAGATCCTGTGAGATGCAAAGCATGAGTCAGAGTGTCAGCAGTCCCACACAGCAAGCAGCACTGCTGCTCCATTCGTTTAAGGAATCAATTCCTTTGTAATGAGCACCAAGTAGTTTCTAGGACTAAAATTAAAATGAGATGCATACTGTTATTATTTTTAAAAAGTTCTTCTTTTCTTTTTTCCTCTTGGAATGACAATAGACAGCTCTTTGTAGTTGGAAGGAGCCCCAGGTGAGGACCAGGTCCCTGCAGCACTGCTCAGCAGACAACCCCATGAGACCCTGCAGGGAGCCTCCCCAGCAGCACAAGCAGATGGAGCTCACCAGGGCAGAGCAGAGCAGGCAGCTGGACTCTGCAGATTTCAGCCTGGTTAGGCTCTCTCACCATGATTTTGTTTTACTTGCACTGGGTAGCTGGCAGACTCCTGGAGGATGGATGTCTCCTGCCCTGGGGAAACCCCCCCTTCATGGAGGGTCTACGTGTTCCTTCTTGAGCTGGAAAGGCAGCACATGGCTGCGTGTGCCACACAGGAAGGTGCTGCTCCTGCTGCCACAGAAGGCGCAGACTGACTTCAGCATCAGAGCGCAAGTCCCTAGGTTACACTCAGGTCAGGAGGGAGATTTGGGACTGACAGCTTTTTGGCCTGTTAGATTTGAAATTCAATTCATAAAGCACGAGAACAGCACAAAAAGAAACCAAAGGTAGGAAGTGAATGCAGTTTCTAAAATTCCTCCAGCTTTAGTCATTGAAGAGGATTGTTAGAAACGCACAAAGGGCCGTTTCCCTCAATTTTTTAAGTGTGAATTTCATCTTGACAGTTTCATTTCAGAAACAAAAATTGAAAACAAATTGTCCTATAGACAAAACAAAGGGGCAGATCCTCAGCTGGAATAGACTGGTATTACCAAATGAGTAACACCCGCTCACAGCAGAGGCTCTGGCCCTTGTGACAGCGGCTGCCTGCTGCCATCCTGCTTTGCCCAGCCAACAGCCTCAGCCTCTGGTTTCAGCTGGCCGCAGAGCTGACTCCAGGTAGCCTGATGGAGACAAAGAGCAGCCTTCAGAGCCGCTGAGTGTGCACCGTGCTTCAGGGACCCTGTGTGCACTCTGCCTTCCAAAACTGGGGCCGGCTCCAGGTGAGCGAGCCACGGGACACGGCATCGAGAAGACAGCCGATACCAACAAGGCCCTGAAAGTCATGAGCTGCTGTGGAGAAATACTGGCAAAGCAGGCTTCCAGAATCCAGTTATTTATGGGATTTGCTCTCTGAAAAGAAGCATTTCTCAGATTTTTCTTTCAAAAGCAACACTGGGCTGATCGTCATCTTGAAAATTAAAAGAGGTCCCCAAGAAAATATTAACTGCAGTGCAAGAGGATGAATGCATGCCTGAATGCGGTCCAATCTATGCCAAACAAGACCTGCCTCAAGAGAGACTGGCACAGCATAACCGTGCCTGGCATTTGGGAAATCCCTTCAGCCACAAATGAGTTACTAATAGGGCATTAATTAGCTTTGGGTCCTGCCACCACAGTCTGACTCTGATTGGGCTGTCCTTCGTGCAACCCCAGGCGTGCTCTAGAAGTCACCAGCTAGCAGGGCTCATTGGCTCTCTCACCCAAAAGAAAACAAAAACATAGACATTAGTTGAATTCAACAAGTTTCTCACTTTGCCAGTCATCAGAAAACAGACCGACTGCTGCTGTCTTCAATGGCAGCCCAGCTTCCATGCAGAACATCAAGCTCTCTGTGTTCATTGTGCTGAGACACTCAATTAACACACACCTGGGTACTGGTAGAGGAGAACCCATCTTCCAGGGCTGACAAGGGGTGGCCTTGGCCACAGACATTTTACAATTCATTTCCTTTGAATTCTTTCGACTGGAACATCATTCCTCTGCTCTCACATCTCTGCCACCATCAGCAGGAGCTGGAAAGCCAGAGTTATTTTTAGGGGATGGTACATTTAGGCCCTGTTAATCTTGACTGGTTCCTTTGAAAATGACAACGTTGGATAATCAAACACATTACACAGAGTTTCCATGGAGCCTACTTGGAAAACCATCCTCCCACCTTTCAGCAATGGAGGAGCCAATAGTTCAGATAGTAGCATTTAATACTGCACTGACTTGCCTCATTACCATGACCTCACTAGCATTTATATACAGAGACCTCCCAGAACAAGGAAATTATGGCACCTAACTGACTTTAAGTATATAAAATAGAACA